GCCACCACAAAATTCACCATAGCCCCCTCCCAGCACTGCCACCACCTGCCCCAAGCACAGCCCTGGCCCCATCCTGCCCCGCGCGGATGTGGGGGCACATGCCGTCCCCCCGCAAGCTCTCCCGGCATTTATGTCCAATAATTTGGCCAATATCAGGCCAATTTCTGATACAGGCAATTTTCTTTATGTTGGTGCTGATCCGATACCAGACCACTGTATTGGTGCACCTCTAGTTACAACTTTTTAAAATGTAAATTTTTAAAAATATTCAATCATTTTCAAATACATATTGAATTCATGTCTTTGTTGCTGTCTTGTTTCAAAGTGAATTAACTTCTTGTTGAAGCTCATCAAAATAGAAGGGTTGCTAGCTAAGTTTTGTAGCACTTATCTCTTCTCTAAATGCTAAATTATGTCAGAATACATTTTTCTATAATAAACACCTATTTGCTTCTACTCACCAGTGGGGTAATCCCCTTACGAGAAAAATACTATACATTTCAACTTTTTAGGATAATGCCAACCTGTTAGAGCAGAACAGAAGCTCCACATACAGCTTCCCAAAAAACTACTTGGTTTTTTTTTATTATTGTTAATAATGCAGCTAAATTCTACTGCCCCAGAAGTGTGCCTAGCCTGTTGGATCATGCTGTTTCCTAACACAACTAGGCCAGACAACTTCCTTGGGATTATTTTTGTGAAAGAAATGACCTCAAAATGCCAACAATTAGCTAGTGTTCAGCAGTGGAACATACTAAACTGGGCTCATCAGACTGGTGGAGCCATTTCCCCGCAGTCCACAGCATCCCTAGAGAAGCTAGGTATTTGGGGACAGGGCCCACCACTCAATTTCCAAGTACACAGCCCTGTTGGGGATGCATTTCTGTAGTGGTGGGGCAAGCAACAAGCACATTAACTCCTGCACTACCACTGGATTCAGATCCGGACTGTAAGGTGATCTGAAGAGAAACCAGACCGTAAGGTGAGGACAAGTTTGACACTTCTGAACTGAACAATTAGTACAGCCACACCAATAAGCACATTTAAAACAGTATCTAATAAGAAACTTTCCCATATTCCTATCATCCATCTCTAGAAAACTGTAGTTAACTCCAGATGTTGGTTTTGTTAATATTAATACAACACAAAGAAAGTTTCAATATCAGAATACTAGTTAAATTTGTTTAGTTTATAGAAGGCAACTCATTCAGACAGGTAAAAGCAGAAGTGACTTAAGTGTTTTGACTGTAACAGCACCTGCAAGAAGCCTGAATGCTGCAAACACCTTTGTATTTCAAAAGACAAAAGAAAACCACCCCCCCCAAAAAAAAAAGCAAAAACCCCACCCTTTAGTGTTCCAGGTTATATAACATCCATTAATTCTCTTCAAAAGAGCACTATAATGGTTTCTCCAAGGTAAATTTTTAGCTACTACAACGTTAGAAATGTACACTCGCTATGCTTAGCTGTACACATTACTCACAAGATCAGCACATTTCTTGCAGAGAGCTGCCAACTTTTCTTCTGGAGTAGAAAGCGTGTTCAAGGCTTGCATCAATAATAGCACTTCTTTTCCTATGGATAAAAGAATCCAAAATATTGAACAACACTACAAGAGCAGTTTATCCTTAGAAGGAAATTACTGTTATTGCACTTCAGTATAGTAGCTGCATAATTTTCCACTAAAGGATGCCAACAGATAGTTCACTACAAAGTAAGCAAGGATGTTTTTTTTGTATAGTTGGGAGAGATGCTAGACAAGGTTACACCTGAGGAAGGGTACTTTGTGCCCAAAAACTTTTCTAACTTCTCTCCCAACTATACAACTAAGATGATAAAAGATATAACCTTACCTCTCATATTTTTTGGACCATCCTGCCTACACCAACACTCCATCCCTACCACTAAAAAGTAAGTGAACACATGTAATTCAATCTCTTGTATATGTAACTACACCATTTAAAGGCACAAATTATTGGCCCACAAGGAATTTTTTTCCCTTACATGATTTACTTCAGAAGATGGAAAGAACCCTGAAAACCAAGGTCTAAAAGTCAAGTCTTCTATTAATAAAGCGTAGAAAATATTGTTTTCTAAAATAAATATTATTGAAGCAATATTCATACAACAAAACAGTTTGAAAGAGTTCCCTGAAGAATGACTTGCTGAAGTACAGGAAGTACAGTTCAACAACCAGAAAGTTAAATATCACAGTGGTAAGTATTAGATTCTAAAATGTGGAGAAAGACAGTAACATATTGACAAGCAACACATTTTTACTTAATTTTAACCAGTGACCCTTTAGAAACTTTTTCCCATTTCCTCCAAAACAGCACGATAAACAAACAGACAAACAAAAAAAACAGATAACAAAATTAAAGATAATGAGAATGAGTTAGAGTTTGTGGACAAAATAAGAAGTTACACCATAAGGAAACATTTAAACTACCTGTTTTTCAACATTTCAATTTGCTTTAGTTTCAAAGCCACTCTTCCCTAAGCAGAGCATACCTAAGGTTTTTTCTTTGTTTTTGTCACTCTCTGGATCTTGTTGGCCATCAGGTGGGTCAGTACGGGCTTCTTCTCTTCCAGGGGTCTCCTCACGTACTTCTCGAGTACAGCATGTTGATCCCAATAGCTTCCCATTCTTAGGGATATAGTCTTCCTCTTCCAATGCACCTGTGCTTTCCATGCCATCACAATTAGACTGTGGATGCTGTAAAGTTGAATCAGATTCAGCACATTTGCTATTCACCAACTGAACCTGGGTACTCACGGCAGTCTCGCAAAATCCAGCTTCTTCCATGGCATCAATCACAAACTTGAGAAAAGGAAAAAAGAAGCTGGGTCAGTTAAGAAGAAAAGTTTGAAATAAACTTCTACTCCTCTTCTCCCCCCGCCCCTCTTTTTAAAGTATGAACAAGCAAGGTGGCCAAAAATCGACTGTATCAACATGAATTGCCAACTATAGTCAAAATGTTTAGAAAACTGATATAGTACAAATCATATAAGCAGATATTGTATACAAAAGCAACTGAAACATTACTATTAGCAATACGTAAACAGGACTAACTGTTGTAGGTATGTCCAGGTAGTAACAGATGAGCTGATGTTTAATAATTATTCTTAAAAAGAAGCTTAAAAAATCTAGACAGGACTTCACCTGGGTAGGTGGAACTGTGTGGGAAAGCTAAAGTGGCATACAGCAGAGACTCCCTAGGCCTAAAGAAGCTTGCAAAGAACTTTTTTCCAATTGCTCAGTTGGTTTAATAAAAGATATCACATCTATACTCAGAGAAGCTTGCCTGCCTATGTCCTTAGACCAGTGGTCACCAACCAGTTGATCGCGATTGACTGGTTGATCCTGGAGACTCAGAGAGTTGATCTGAGGCTGGGGGAGGGCCAGCAGGTGGGGAGGGAAGGGGCCCAGATCAAGGCCCCCCGCAGTGAAGAAGGGAGCAAGGCAGAGGCAGGAGAGAGAGGTCAGGTACGTGGTGCCCCATGGGGGTGGGAGGACCAAGCCCAGGGGTGTAGGGGGTGTGTGCCCCCAGATCTGCATGCGGGGCAGGGCGGGCTGCTGGACTATGCTGTGCTTGGAGTGGGTGGTAGTGCTGGGAGGGGAGGTTGGGCGGTTGCAGGGGATGGGGGGGGGGG